AGTTTGATTTCCACCTTTTATGATCCTACGTAAGCAGACCCAGCCATGCCATCACACACCTCTGACATACAGAAACCATGAGATAATAAATGGATATTTTTTTAAATGACTAAACTGGTAGCAATTTTTATGCAACAATAGAATCAACAGAATCAATACAATCATGAATATTTTCAATTAATCTATTTCTGCATTTCATTAAAATATCATTTATCTTAATTATTGAGGTTTTTTTTTTGTACCTCCTTATATATTTTACCTAAGTCGATTGCTCTCTTTACCTCCCCGCTAGTCCTGGTCTTACAATGCTTGGCATAACATAGATACAAAAGCGCATGTTCTTATCATTATCCTTTTAGTTCACAGTCTCCTCTAATTCTTGTCTTATTGATTGGAAATCACTTTTATGTTCCCCACTTCTTCAAAGTTTCTCTTCCCACATAATGGCCATTTCCATGCCTTCTTGCCTACATCAGATCCACCTGGCCCTGGGCCCAGCCAGGTGATTATTAAGGGCCAGGTCGTATCATAAGGCTATCATCAGCTATCATGCCATGTAATTGTCTTCCTTAAAAGGCCTTTGACTTTCAAGTAATTTAAAAGTATTTTTCTCCTATGTATACGGGGATACATTTTCATCATTTGGTATGACACTTTGGATTCAGATTAATACTAAAATTTATCCCTATAGATTTCACCTTTTTCCAACTTTATTAAAAAAAACTTTTGCTAAATGTAGGGCTGAGTTTGAAAAACATGAGTTTGGATATGGGGAGATAAGAATAAAAAATAAAATGGCTAATAAATTTACTCTCTTGTCTGGAAAGTTTGTGTCTGAATTGTTTCAGTAACTCTTTCTTGTTCAGGAGTCACTACTTCATTGCAAAAGAAGAGGAGGGAAGTAGCTATAAGAATCATACATAACCACCCATATTAATGACTGTTTTCACTACGATTAAATCATAGATATTTTATATCTATAGAACTGGTCATTTTTACTGTGCATGTTGATTCATAGTTGCATAACTAATCATGACAACTTTATTAATTGCTTATTATCAAGGGTTTTCTCTTTTATTAGAGAACAAGTGACTTCCTTCCCTAGCTCTGGTGTGCGTATATATCTCTGTGTGATAGAGATTAATGTATAAAGCTTTGCAGGAAACTGCCTCATTGATTTTGTTGCCTTTATATTTGTCTTCCTTAGATGACTTCCACTAACATAGATAGAGGATGTATCGCCCATTTCATTGGGACACCCAGAGCCCCGCCTATGGCAGTTAGAGTCCTGGCTTGAGTTCAGGAAGCTGAGTAAATAAGAGGTTAAAAGGATATTTTTATAGAAATCAATGCATTATATCATTGATATTTTTAAGGTCTCCACTCCACTGCCTCTTTGATGGGGGCACTTTTATATAGTATTAGTCCTTGCTTGTGTTTTGTATACTGATTAGAACATGCATTACCAACACTGATATAATAATGTGCTCTAGAAAATTATTTAATGTTGTAATTAATTGTATAGAAGTTCTATTTCTTGAATCTATGAGTTCGAATATTCTATGCCATATTTTCAAATTCTTCAAATCTCATGTTAACCAATCCATAGCTCTACTGTATTACTTGGAAATATTTTTAACTACTGTTTTTTCCCACATTATTAATACTTAAATAGATTTCTGGGATTTTTATGCAGTAGTAAATTCTACTCTTAAACATAACTTAATCTAGCAGGATCAGAGCTAATGATGAATAAATGTAAACTGCCTCAGTACGTGGTACCTCCTTTAAGAGAAAACCCCCAAAAGGTCTTTCTTGAAAAAAAGTATCACATCAGTACCTTAGAGTTTTCTGCGCTATGATAGTGCATTGAATACAAGAAAGCTGATGGGGTAGTTTTAAAAAATGTCCTGACAGAGTCAAGGTGATGGCCATTTTTAGCTGCCCTGCTATCCATCACCTCTTTCAGCCAAGCATACTCCATCATATGCAACAGCCTCATGAATTTATGCATCAAGCTGTGCAGCCAGTCGTGCCGAGGGCGCTGGTGACAAGTGAAATTGCTGTGCGCCTCATTTAGCTGTTTATTGCGCCTGAGTACGTGTTGCAGCTGTCATCCCACGATGGGATGATAGTGCTCGTTAATAGACAAGACAGGCAAATAATGATGGAGGCCACAGCAAGAGATGCTCATCTGCCAATGGGCTCTGAGCAATATCACAAACATCCACAAAGTTTTCCATCAAAAGCAACCCTGTAAGGAAATAGAGAGGGCAGGGCTGTTTTTCATGGGACTAACAATGGAGATTAAACTTTTGAAAAAAGTATAGCCCAGTAGATCGTATAACTTAGGGCTGCATTTGGTCTTTTGCACTATGCTTCCCTTTTACAAGAATCACAAGAAAATGACCACACACAAGATCTGGATTTGCTTCTGAGACACACGTTGACTGTATTCCTACCACACACCATGGAATTAACCTTAACCCAGCTGAACAGTTGGCCTTATTCTGCTGTCAACTGCAGCCCCAGGAATTTGTGAATGTTATTTTTCAACTATTTGAAGACCTGTTTCATACATTTAGGATTTTGGATTGCTATCTTTCAATTCTTTTCAGTAATTCAGTGGAAAGTAACTTGAAATAGAAATATTCTATCTTTAGATTTGAATGGGATTTTCTTTTGTATAAAATTGAATTATACTCAAGCATTCATATCTTGGCACATAGCAAAGATGCTCTTAATAAAATCTCTTGCAGATGAAAGTCTGTTGTTTAACAGACTTTCATTTCCTTCTTTTCCTGAATATGTGGTGCTTAATCTTATGGGTATTTTACAGTTGTGATTAGTAAGTGTCTACGGTATAGAATTAAATGTGAACCTTTATGATTTTACCAATAGGTCATTCATTTTGTAAGAATACAGAACTTAAGGTGTTAATTAACCTGTTTGGTGTAAGGAAATGAAGCAAATCTGGCAAACCTTTGCAGAATTCAATATACAAAAGTAATACCCAAGAAAATGTAAATTGTATGCCTGCTAACTGGATATTATTTTGAGTCCCATACATAGAAACAAATATCAAGGTCCAAATTGTCAGCTTGGGATGGAAATAATTATAGATGTTTTATAATTTAACAGAAATATGATAAAACCAATAAGCATACAAAATTAGAAATAAAATATAGGAATAATCCATTAAACACATACACAGTATTTGGAAAATGACTTTTTAGATATAATAATATGTGGTTATGTTCTTTTTAATAATGTCCACATTACTATGGAGAAATACTGCCAAAAATTTAACAGAGACATTATTATTAATAAGCACACCAAGAATCACAGAAAGTACTAACCATGACAATACAGACAGAACACCCTTAGCAAGAGCACAAAGCTATCATGATGAAAGAAGCCTTAAAAATCCTTTGGTTAATCTTATCAATTTTAGGATGAAGAAACCAAGTCCCAGAGAGGCCCAGTGACCTAGTGAGGTCTGCAGTGAGTCACCTGTAGCATCTGTAGTAGACTCCAGTCTCTGGAGCTCTAATGTCCTCCAGAGCTGCTTCACCTTTAACATTTCTCACATCCTTGCTGTGACTGATCGTCCAGGCTTATTTTTTTTCTATTTATTAACATTAATTTTATTTTTATTTATTAGTGCTTCAAAAGATTATTTTGATTTTTTACTTACACATGCGTATTTATTTGTATATGCTTATTTATTTTTAAAGAGAGGAAGGGGAATACAAGGTATTAACAATATGGTTAAAATAATGATAGCATAATGAAAAGAGAAAATTATAACAAAAAAGCTCAGACTAAGGATAATTACTAGATTTGAATATAAAATTTACCACTGATTTAAAAGGGTTGATTCATTCTTAAATGTGATCATTGTCTTTGAGCCAAAAATTACTTCAGTGAGAATGAATCTTCAGTTTTATGATAGAAATAAATGAGAAAATATAAGTTAACTTGCAAAAAAACAGTTTTATTATGTGCATTTTAAGAACATGCGTATTCTATAAAGTGAGGCACATTATTTAAAGGTCTCTTCCTTCTTTAATACATTCATATCTGTGAAACTTCTGTTACTCAAAATGTATTGTAAAAATCATTAAAAACAAGTTTCTATTGGGTATCATGATCCAGAAATATCTATTTGCCACAGAAGTCTAATGAATACTTAGTATACAGGGCTATGTGTATTCTACAATTAATTTGGATGCATAGTAGATATCATTATACAGGAGGTACAGAATTGCATTTGGATTGTACATTACAGTGTGATTTAGCTCAGGGTCTTAATGTAAAATCCCATAGACTAACATGTAATAACTTTATATACTTTATTTCCGTTTTCTTGTTTTGTGCTTACTATGGAATTATACAGTGAGAGCTATGTTATTCTGTTCCTCTGCTCTTTCAAAAATAATGATAACAATATCTTCTTTTTTTGGCATTTATAGAACTAATGGTCAGCAAATTTGAATATGTTGACTCCTTTTTCTTAATGAAATGGAAAAGAGATGTGTGTTACACACACACACACAAAGTTTTATTAATGTTTCATAAAATGGTTGCTACAATCAAAGGAACTGCTCTGAAAATTAAATTACTGGGCTGACTCTGAAAATCAGCATAATATGCTCTGTTTAATTCAGTCATGCTAAGATGTTAGATTCCCCTTCATTCTCTCAGCTTTCTTTCTCCTTCACCTGGGGGCATCTGCTGATGAGTCTCTTCTAGAGGTTGTTTAATGACTATTTTACAGGAACTGTCAGCTTTCTAAAGCCCAGTGGCACTGGGCGTCACTGTATTACCAGCCTTTTTACACAATTTGCCTGACTGTAAATCGGAGGTTTAAAAGTACAAGAAAAGCTCCTATTTGATTTAATGACTGGCTGATGGGGGTCGATTAATCTTTCTATGCTCAGATGTTTTACTCATAAAGGTCATCTATTGTTTGTTTATACTCACTTTCCTGATTTTAGAAACACAAGAAATAAGAAGACCATTTTGAGAAGAGCAGAGTGTAGCCTCAAGAAAATCCCTGTCATATGCACTCTGGGATTTGGACTCAAATCCTAATTATACAGTAAGTGAAATGAACACAGCCTTTACATTAACCTAATGTAAAGCTGCAAAACCATGATACCTGCTCAATTTGGTTAAAGAAATTACAGATGGTGGCTGGTTTTTTTTGGTTTTTTTTGAGGAGGGGCTTATTTATTTCCCTTTTAAAAAGCAGTGATATTGGTCATGTAAATGAAACATTTTTCCTTCCCGTTTCACTCTCTCTCTGAAACCAAACAGGAATCTTTTAAGCAGTCATCTTGTTTTACTTAGGAAATTGCTTCTATTCAAGTTTTGGGGATCTATTTTATTGGAAAAAAATCACAAATTTCCCCTTTTTAAAAATCAATTGTAATATTAATACATAATAAATTACATAATACACATTTTTGCTTCTTGAATTTTAACATGACTTAAATTAGTACATCCACCTAATTATTTTGGCCAATTTTAATTTTGTAGTGTTTTAGGAGTAAGGGACAACTCTTGTGATCAAAAAGTACATGAATCAAAGCTACTTAACAAAGAGAATGATCTAAGATCACAAAAAAGTAACAAGGAAAAGACAAAACTGAAGAAATATTCAACAGATTTGTAACACTATCGTGTTCAGGTCACAGAGTAAAGTTACTCTTCAGCCAATCAAAATATTATCTAATTATAGGCTCCTCCAAACAAATGGAAAGGAATAATCATTCTGGAAGTTGTTACTGAATGAAGAATTCTTATTACAAGTGGCTACAAGACAATAAGACCCAGGAGAAGGTGGGCATGCATAGTGAGCGTAGTAAACAACGATGATTATAAATCCTTCCTCTGCTTTCAAGAGTGAGAATAATATAAACACTGAAGAAAAATAAAGTTACATAGGTTTTCATTGGATAATATGTTCAGACATGCAGAGCTGAGGCATCTGGATATTAACCTTGCAAAATCCCTAGAGGTAGGAATTTTGCTATTACCAAGCCATTCAAGGTAACAAAAAGCCACTTAATGAAATTTTAGACTGTTTGCTTTGTTTGAATCTCAAGTCCACATTCTACTACCAAATGGTCACAGAGCAACCATATGCATAAATAAAACATTGAGCAAAATTCTGGCAAGTTTTTCTTAAAATATTCTTTGATAGGCATTTCTAAGGGCAAATGTAGGAGAAGGAATAGACGGCCTCTGATAGCACTAGCGTAACATAATATAGCTGCTCTGAAGATGTGTCTCAAATAACAACTCTTCCTGGGAAATTCCAGGACTTCTTTTACGGTACAGCTCTTTCCTTGGACTTTTACTACATTGAATTGCATTCACTTTTTTTTTATACAATAATCTTTCTCTAGAGATTTGTCTTCACAAGGGCAGGACCTGTTTTGCATCCCAAGCATCTCAGTACCTAAGGCAGTGTCAGACCTATAGTAAGCACTCAATAAATATTGTTTGAATTAAGTAACCAAATTATAGTGTTTTTCACATTTAGCAGAGGCCTCACTAAAGCGTTTTAAATACGACTACATTCCCTGTTAGAATTCAGACTGCCTCCTATTGCTAAGCTTGAAGGAGCACTGAGATTGGACATGGAGATGAAGGCTCTAGTCTCAGCTCTGTCACTCTGTGACTACCAACCAAGGCTCTTAAACTCGAGATTCTTCAATTTCTTATCAGTAAAATTCAGGATTGGATTTATCGCTGAGATCCTTGACAGCTGTGACACTCTGATTCTTAGATCCCTGCTATTCTCATTTGTAGTCAGCCATTTTCTGTCAGTCTACTTGCAACTCTAAATTGTTGCTACTATAGAATATTTACTGAGCATCTATTTGTAACATTGCCTCCTCTCATACCTAAAACAATCCTATGAATTACGTTTTTACAAATAGTAAAATTGGGGCTCAGAAAAGTGTCCTATTTGTCCAAGTAACTGTGTTAGCCATAGTGGCATGAAAAAGATTCAAGCCTTGGTCTTCCAATGATTTACCCCCTTTTTCAGTTCTGTCTGTGGCTCATTCTTTTCTGGGACTTGTAACAGGATAACATTGTAATGTTTGAAATAGAATTCCTGAAGAAAACAACAGGGACCTCTGAGAAAAGACCAACTGACTGTAAATCAGTACCTCTGAGTTGTTTTGTCATCAGAGGTGATGAGGTTCCTCTGATCCTCCATATCTCTTCCCATCCTCTGGTGCCCAAAGTCACACATTTTCAAGACAGCTGGCCAATAGACTCTGGCCATAAAATAGAGCTCAGCAAGCTACCACACAAGGACTGAATTTGTGACCTTGGCATCATTTTCACCCCCCCCCAAGTGATTGAATTAAATAGCAAACCAAGTCTGACAACCACCACAGGAAATAAAATTCAAAATCCATGTAAGTATTTATCATTCAGTTCCCTTATATTTCAATTAACTTCAATTATTTACGTTGGACTTGCACTTTGTAAAGCAGTGCACAAGGAACTGCAGAATGAATGCACAATATAGACCTCCAGAGATTAAAGTGTAAGGAGAGCGGAGTATTAACGTGTGGGTCACCACAGGTTCTAAGAAAGAACAAGCCAAATGCCATGAGGTGCAGAGCCAGAAGAACCCCCACCCAGATGTAAGGTATCAGAAAGAGCTTTGTGAGGTGCCCCTGACAGCTTCTCCCTCCTCCTGAATGCCTTTCCATATTTATAGAGTCCTTTTATTATCAGGAATAGCCCCAAGTTACCACTTCAGAAGGATCTGTTAGCAGCCCATTGGCTCTCCTATCTCCTTGGATCTCCTTGAAATGGCCCTGGCTTGATCCTATTCCTGTCTGTACTGTGATCTTATTTTCTTCTAACTACAGCCAATCCAGGGGATTTCAAGCATGATGCCTAGTTTTATGTGTCAACTTGACTGGGCTAAGGAATACTCCGATAGCTGGTAAAAGATCATTTCTGGGTGTGTCTGTGAGGGTGTTTCTGGAGAACAGTAGCACTTGCATAGGCAAACTGAATAAAGAAGATCCATGTCACCAATATGGGTGGGCATCATACAAGCCATTGAGGGCCCAAACAGAACCAAAAGGAAGAGGAAGGGTGAATTCACTTGCTCTGTGATTGAACTGGGATATCCACCTTGTGTTCAAGGTCATCAGCTGCCCTGATTCTGGGACATTTAGACTGGTATTTATACCATGAACCCTTTGGTTCTCAGGCCTCTGGACTTGAACTGAATTACCTCACCACCTTTCCTGGGCTTATTAGGGCAGCTGATTGTGGGACTGTTCAGCTTCCATAATGGAGCCAATTCCTATCATATACATCCTATTGATTCTATTTCTCGGGAGGACCCTGACTAAGATACTCAGTTTACTCTTTCTTTCAGGTTCCCATTTACTGGTTTCTTAGTCCTCTGAGTCCTGTCTGGGCCTTGTCATCTTTGATTTTGCCTTTATCTGCTAACCTTTGAGTCCACTTCCCCTGCATTGTACTGATGGTCCTACTGCAGGTACTATCTGGGTTCATTAAAGCCTTTGCTCCACACCCTTTCCTCCAGCTTCCAGAGAAGCCCAAAGATTTCAAACTTAATTTTTTGGGATGCTACAGTACTCACTGCTTTGGAGCAGGGTTTCCAGAACTGAGAGCTAGCATAACACTTTATTTTAAATGGAGTATGCCCAACTAAAGAGTCTACCCAAGTTCAGATTTACCAGTAAGTAGAGACTTCCAGATGGACTTTGACCTTCATCTAATGGGTAAGGAACTATCTGAGGAAACAGTGTCAGGGCATAGTTTTCTCCCCTTACCAATGTCCAACCTCTCTTTCTCTGTTGGCTTTTCTGAGGGTTTCCTCCAACTCTGACATTCTGTCAGACTGTGTGTCTACCATGCTGAGTTTATGGGAGATTGAGATGGTGTATTTTACTGCTTTTATTGTATACAAATCCAGTGGTTTCTTTCTTACAATTTACTCCATAAAATCAATTATTTTTTGAACCACCTAAAGAAATATTTTTCAGTGTATACGGTTTTAGAAAGGAAGATTACTTTCTAACATTGTTCAGTAAAAAGTAATTAATACAACAGCCTCTCAATCAATGCCAGCTCTTAAAATAGTATCCCCAGCAAGCTACAAGTAATATTTAAGATTAACTTCAACTTCGTCCTTACCATATATGTCCAAATTCTTAAGTTAAGAATATTTTCAGTCTTTTAATATAGGCTGCCTTGAATAATCTATCTTACTATATGTTATATTTGGGATTCAATTTAGTCATGCCATGCTCCTGCATATTCTTTTCTAAGATTTCTATGAAATAGTACTGACTTTAAGGTCTATAATGGTTTAAAAAAATAAAATTTCTAGCAGTAATTGCATATCAAACATAACATAATAGAACACCAATTTGGTAGAATATTGTTCTCTATTCCTTTGGCAATAGAATTTGGGTACCTACTGAAGTTCCACTTCACATTTCCTTCCATAAAGTTTCAATAAGCTTAACAGATTGTCTCTTTATATCTATAATGATGACTGGAAGAGGAAATTTGGACAGCAAAAGTGGTGGCTTCTTAGGCTTACTGCCAGATTTTGAAAACCACTATAACAAGTCATTTATGCCAAGTAAGTAAAATCTGAATGCTGGCTAAAATGTTAAAAAAAAAAATAGAATGAAACTCATGCTGACTAATAGGCGTTAATGTGTGAATAATAATTAGTGCAATTAAGTGACTGGTGCTGTGCGGGTGAAATTTTCAGAATACAAAACATTAATGTAGGGGTTTATATACACATAAACAAAGCTTTAAAATGGGCTAATATAAGCTGCAAGGAAATGTTTAATGGTCTGTATAACAACTGTGGAATTCTCATTAAGGGTACGCTAGTGCTAGGTATAGAAATTCTGCAAATATAAATCATTATTATAACCTTAGAGAATTCTCAAAGCTGTGTGTGTGTGTGTGTGTGTGTGTGTGTGTGTGTGTGTTTCATATATCCCTGTATGAGGAAAACAAGTTTTGGGGTCTGATAAAGGATTCATTAACACTAAACTAATGTATATG